GTCCTGAGAAGTCCACCTATGTGTGCCTGTGTCAAACCACATGAATGGTCTGTTTCATTAGCATGGACCCCCACTGAAATGTCAGCCTCCAGGGGGCAGGGACCTGTCCTCTTCACTTTGATCTCCCTCACACCTAACACAGAGCCAGCATCCTGGGGTGAATGCGCATATACACCCTCATGCACACATGCACCTGCCCTTTTGTGTGCTCAGTTTGTGCCCGAGGGGTGTGTCCCTGGGTGAGCACGTGGCTCCTGCGTGCATGGATAGGCGTGCAGGATAGGCATAGGCGGTCCGTGAACGTACTGTGCCTGGGGCACAGGAACATAGGCGCGCTTTCCTCCACCGTCTTCTATCCCGTTTCTCCCCATCCCTTTCTCGGGTCCTGGAGCGTTTTCTCCAAGCAAGTGGGAGTATTTATTGATGGGGCCAAAGTGAGGCCCCGGCAAACGTTACAGTTCCCCCCGGGAAAGCAAGCTTCATCCTTTCTCCTTCTTTCTGTCCCTCTTTGCTTTCTTCTCCCCGCTCTTTCCTATTTCACATCTCTCCCCTGCCCCCCTCCGGGAGGAAGTGCATCTGAGCTCAGCCTTTGCTGACACGGCCATTTGGGCCCATTAGCTGCCTCCTAATGAGTGAGTGCCTTCTTGGCCCCTTCCCCCACCCCAGCTGGGAGGGAGGGATCAATTAGCTGCTACACACACACACACGTACGCGCGAATGCACGCTCGCCTACACATGTACTCATGCTCCGGTGTACATATATGCACATCACATGCACACTTATAAACACACTGATGGCACACGCACGTACATTCTTTCCTCATGACCAATAATATCCTTTTAGGGGTCCCCACCTTCCACAGTGCTCCCCAGCTCCCTAGACAGAGAGCCTCCTCAGTTCGACGAGCAGAACTCCCCCTGCCAACCCCACTCACGCCAGCTCATTCCCGGATTTCCACGATTCCAAACTCGGTCCAGCTCTCACATTTCACAGATGGGCAAACTGAGGCTGAGTGGGGAAGTGACTTGTCCCAGGCACTTAAGTCAGTTAGAAGGCAAGCTGGGAACAGACCCATGTCCTCAGACCCCCAGTCCAGCACTGTCACTATCAACAGATAGAAGCGGGCTGTCCCACAAATGTCCACCTGGTACACATCAGAGCTGTGGGACTTCACGAGTAATAAGTCCACGTTAAGGCATGTGGACATGATTCCTGGGGGTAACAGGGACCTAGGGACCTCTGCCGTGTGCCGAGGGAGAGGGTCGAGCCCTCGGGCAGGCTTACCTGGTCCCTTGGAGTCAGTCTGGCCCAGAAATTGCAGAGAGATGGGTCCACCTTCAGCCTCTCCTCGGGCTTTCACAAGCCTCGTCGAGACCGCTCTCCCTTCCGAGTACTGGCCTCGGGGATCCCTGATACAAGCTCCGTCTTGGACGGATAGGAAGGAGCACCTCACTGAGGATTCTGTCCCAAAGAGCGTCCCACGAGGACTGGGAAGGGGTAGGTGCCAGCCTGGCCCATTGTCTACACTCCGTGTGAGGATAGGGAGTGTGAGAACCGGGACGCAGGCCTGAGGCATGCAGGCCCAGGCAGGGACAGCCCAGGCGGCCAGGGTCAGATGCCCCCTGCACCCAGTCCCTTGGGAGAGTCTCCTCCGAGGCCTCAGCGGCTATGGCTGGACCTTGGCAACTCACATCTCCTAAGGCCCCAACCTGAAGGCTCTGTACAAAAGAGGACTTGAGGACGGGTCTGGGAGTCGTTCTGAAAGCTTACCCAGGGGGCAGGGCCTTCCAGAGCCTCTCCTCCCAGCCAGGAGCAACAGTACTGTCTTTGCTCCTGCTCGGCCTCTTCCCTCTGGAGGGCTGGAGTTCTCATCTAAATGTCCCTCTCCTCCCTGGGAGCCCCGGACCACTTTCCTCCCCGATCCTGTGTCCCTGTCTGGGAGGTCCTGCAGACACTGAGGCCTGTGGTTCTCTGTAACCCTCAAGGCCTCAGCGAAACCCAATACGGACCCCAGAGGGCATCCTGGGATGGGCCCCTCCGCGGATGTGGACCCCACGGTCATCTCAGTCAAGTTCCTGGGCCTGCTCCTTGCCCTTCCCATCAGCAGGTTCTCCCCTAGATTGAGTCGTCAGAGGGGGCCACCCTGCCCTAAAAGCACAGAGCAGCAGAGTCCCGGCCTGCCCACGGGAATGAGGGGGCTCTCACCTCAGCTGGCCCATCGCGGTGCCAGCGTGAGATGGAGGAGGCAAGGAACCCTGGGGCAGAGGGTGTAGAAGACACAGGTTCCAGGGCGTCTGGGTGCCTCAGTCGGATAAACATCGGACTTTGGCTCAGGTCATGATAGTGTCATTCATGAGATCAAGCCCCACGTTGGGCTGTCTGCTGTCAGCCCAGAGCCTACTTTGGATCCTCTGGCCCCCTCTTTCTCTGCCTTTCGCCTGCATGCACACTCTCTCTTTCTCAAAAATAAATAAACATTAAAAAAAAAAAAGGAAAGGAAGAAGGAGGAGGAGGAGAAGGAGAAGAAGAAGAAAGAAGGAGGAGGAGAAGAAAGAAGAAAGAAGAAAGAAGGAGGAGGAGGAGGAGGAGAAACGAAGATGACGATGACGACACCAGACCAGGAACCAGGAACCAGTGACGACACCAGACCTGGACCAGGTTCCAGACCAGGAAAACTTGGATGGGCAGCAAACTTCTCCACTCAACACCTGAGTGACTTCGGAGAGCCACCTGCTTTTAAGTTTCATCTGTAAAAGGAGGAGAATCAGGGCTTCTTCGCAAGTGAGACATTGCAAGGATTTGAAGCCAAATAGAATCTCTAATACTATTTACTTACATGTGCACTGACCATTTCCAGAGGGGTTACAAAGAAACTGTCAGCAGCAGTTACCTCTGGAAACAGAAATAACGGGAGGAAAAGGGGGGGGATCTTCTACTTTTCGCGTTATTCCCGTTGCCCTGTTTTAATTTTCCTACTGAGCCTATTTTACTTTGGTTTTAAAAAAAAAGAGGGGCGCCTGCGTGGCTCAGTCGGTTAAGCGTCCGACTTCAGCTCAGGTCACGATCTCGTGGTCCGTGAGTTCGAGCCCCGCGAGTTCGAGCCCCGCGTCAGGCTCTGGGCTGATGGTTCAGAGCCTGGAGCCTGCTTCCGATTCTGTGTCTCCCTCT